TAGCTTTGCTGTCACATATCCATCTGTAGGTCACTTCAGTCACTGTATGGCACAAAGCTTTTCCTTTGTACCGCATCACTTTACTTACAGTCAGCTTTCCCATAGCTGAAGAGTAAGTCTTAAAGAACTAGTGAAGAAAATCATTAGAACTAAACAGTTGTCATCATAGGAAGTGATGAGTATTTTTTTCTGATGTCCAGGATTTTCTCTTGCCCTAATTACCACTGAATTGTAAGGACTCTTAAGAGTGCATGGGCGCTCTCTCTCTGTCTCTCTCGATTTAGTAGGCTTTGTGTAACTGTTCAATAGCTCTAGCATCCTCTGATCAATGCAGTCGTTAGGAGATCCTAGAGTGGATGCTTCCTTCCCCCTCTACATTCCACTCCTCCTACGTTCCCTTTACCACATACTCTCTCTTGTCTCGCTTCCAAGAGTGGCTTGCAGTTAAATTCTGGCCCTGTTGAAGTTGATGAGAATTGTGCTTTGTTGGAGCCAAGGTTCAACTTAAATGATTTTCTTACTCTGGTTCTTGTCTAGATGCCATCTTGCTACTGTCGCTTCATACATAAAGCTAATGGGGCTGACACTGCATCTCAAGCTATGTCAAAGAGCTATTGTAAATTACTGGTATCGGTTGCATGTGAATTCCAGACGGGCATAAGAGACTTCAGCACAATGTAAACCAAGCCATAGCTGGAAATTGTCTGAAACAAAGACTTTCAAAAATAACTGTGGTGTCCTTGGCCACCTAAGCTGTTTGGGGGAGTCTGGGCTTTTTTTGTTGTTGTTTGCTTCCTGATGCTGCATAGTTATAATTTCCAGAAATTGGAGCACTGAAAAGCAAAGGTGGGCAGTCAAAATAGATAATTTCCCTGTGCCTAAAACCTTGGATACAGCTGCCTACTGAATAAAAAGACAGATTAATAACTTTGTAGTATAGCCACAAAAAGTGAACAAAACCAACGAACTCTCTGACAGCGAAGTGCAGACTGGAAGCTTAAGATGTACAGAAAGCCTCTCTCTTCCACTTCATCAATTTCTAATTGGTTAATGTTTCCTCTAACGTTTCTATCAAAGCATGGGATTCGGCATCAGATGATGTCAGGGGAGTTAGGAAGATCGCTTTCTCTCAAGCCTGGCTGACTGCTTCTTTTTATTTACTTAACCAGCCTGCTGCTTTGGGATCGCTTACTACAAAACTTGGCTGGTACGGGCTAAGAGTGGCAGAGTTGTTGCAATGCTTTCCCTGAAGCCTGGGTCAGCACGCTTGTGTAAGGGCATATTGACAGGTGGGAATAGGGAAGGGTGGAGAAATTTTTGTACGAGAAGGAACATGCCAATGCTTCATTGTGAAAACTGCGGGTGACGGCTATGGAAAGGGATCTTAAGTCTGTGAGACCTTACTTGAATTTAAATGTATGGTGGTAGCTTTATAACATGTATCAAATGAAAGACATTTTAGCCATGATCCAAAGTGAGATCACAGCTGGTTTTCATCTAGGACCCTCAAAAAAAAAAAAAAAAAAAGTCCAGTGGACTAAGAAGGATGTTTCCATTTGAGTTCAGCCTGTGGTTAAGGCCTCAAAAGAGCCGGTGGCTGGAGTGAAATGTCATAGATGTACAGCAAGGACATGCTTCCTAATGAGCTGGCAGATAGGGGAAGAATGATAGAGCAGAGGCAAGGGGAAAGATCTCTTCCAAGGTGATTATTTTTCTGGTGCCAGGGACTGGAATAGCTGTTGGTGGTATGTTCTCAATGGGGAACAGGAAAACACTGGAGAAGCAAGAGTGTGTGGAGAGGGGGGCGGTTTGCAAAACTAAATTGTCATTCCCCTTTTCTTCTGACACTTAAAGGAGAAAAGGATAGAGTTGTTTTACTCACAAGAAACAGGATGTCTTTATGCATAGACTCAGTATTTGGGGAAATGCATTTGCTTTCCAACTGTGCTGTAGATCGGGGTGTAATCTTGGCAAGTGCAGCAAAGCCATCTCCAGCACGCATGAGTGGAACTATAATCGCTTGACTAGCCCCATTCAAGGCGAATAGATATGCATCTGCTTAAGTACCTCTTAGAATTAGTCAGTAATCTTGTTGATGAGATCCAAGAGCCTTACACCTGCACAGTACAGGACATGATATTACTCTGGATATACCAGTATGGAAAAGTCCTTAGGCGTCTACATTATTTGTGAATGGGATTTAAATTAATGAAGGCCTGTGTGCATTTGAAGGTCTTACACATAGATGTGGGGTTGGGGGCTTAGTGCCAATGAATAATAAAAACTGATTTAAATAGAAAATATTACAGAACCAGAAATACCAGAAGGTGAATAAGAAGTTGTTGCCCTTAATTTCACAGCGTAAACACTTAATGAATGCTCAAGCCAAGAATGCCCCCAAAATAGGTAAATGCTTGCAGTGTCTGTGTATTGACACTCTTCTGTGGTTGTGCAGCAAGTGCTTTGACGTAACTTTATTCAGAACTGCAGACAAGCAGGCAGGGTCTAGTGGGGACTTGGGTATCTGAGGCTTGAGAAGCCTGTTTGGAAGCTCTTTTTGAAAGCTACAAATCAAAGGTCCTTAGCAATACATTTAAAAATATTTTAGATGAAAAACTGCCCATGTGTCATCTTAAATTTTATGTAGCAACTTCATTAGTTTTCAGCTCTGCCTTATGTAAAAGCCCCAAACTGTCTTTTGTAATTGTTGGAAGAACAAGCTGAACATAAGTACATTTTAATTCTTAACACTCGAATGTGCCAGTACTTCACACGCTGCTTTCTAACACATCATTGGCAAACTGCCCTTCTACCTAAAATTCTTATGTCACTGGATTAGGCTCCCATATACAGAACAGTGTAGCCTGGTACTTATTTTTTTTGGTTTTGTACTATGTCTGCGAGGATATTTTGGCTGTTTTATGATAAACTTTCACTCGGTAGTCAAGTGCTTGCTAGCAGCAGGTCATAAGGCAGTGTCAGATCATTTAAGTCACAAGACCTGGACTGCAAAGTGAAATACCACAGATATCTACAGTGTTCCAAGCTAATGTGAAATATTATTATTTCAAGCCATAATTTAGACAGTTGTAGGGCTCTAAAAGCCAGAAGACTTTTGCTGGAACTAAATGTCAAGTACGAAGTCTAAAGTTTGAAATGTTCTATAGAGTGAGTACATATATGCAGTAATTAGAGTTCTCTGCTTTGAGCTCTGGTAGTCTTGAATTTTTGGTGTCAGCTAACATATGAAGGGAGAACTTCCACAGTATTTCTCAGACAAAACCTGGTGAGATCACTGGTGCCCTCTGAATGCCAGAGTTGCTGGTTTTCCATTTAGTGCTTACACCAGAGTCCCAGAAAGCTACAAACCTTTTGTGGTGCTTATGTTCGGTTTGTAGACATTGCTCTATTAGGCTGTTGTAGTATGAGGTTTTCGTGAATATGCCAGTTAAAAACAAAACAGGGTCCATTTATGAAGAAGCTGGGATAACTGCATTATATACCAATCTACTGGAGCTAGAAGTAAAAGCAGCTGAATCTTCTTTCATCACCAGCTGTATGATTCGTATTGGATGTCCTTATAATGTGAAAGAGATAAGTGACTGGCAGTAGCCTAACAGTCCCTTTTGATGTCAAGCTTTGTTCAGTTTGATAATGCTGCATGTGTGTTTTGGTTAATGGCTTGTAGCTCCAGGGCAGCCTTATCTTACTCTCTAAAACAGAAAATTAATAAAACCAACTGGCTGCCTCAGAGTCTTGCCTGCGAAGCTAGAGAGCTGTGATGTGGGAGGTAATGATACCTAAATGAAGTTATAACTCCAACATCTCTTCTGACTTCTAGATCCCGATCGCATTATTGAGAAGGCATCCCACTCTGGCATGATCAATCCAAGCCGTCAGTGGCAGACTTTGAAACATAATGCAGGAGTTGCCCACTTTGAGTATCAAATCCGTGTGACTTGTGCAGAACATTACTATGGCTTTGGCTGCAACAAGTTTTGTCGACCAAGAGATGACTTCTTCACTCACCATACCTGCGACCAGAACGGCAACAAAACCTGCTTGGAAGGCTGGATGGGACCAGAGTGCAACAAAGGTTTGTGACAAATGCTTGACCCTTGGATGATCAGCGGGTTTGGATAGGATTTGAATGCATCATATCCAGGTTGCAATTCAGTGGTCAGTTTGTGCAGACAATCGGGCCTAAGGACTGATGGGACAGCAACTAACTCCTTAGACAGAGAACTAGAGGCAGGAGAAGACTAGTTTCTGCCTTCTTTTAAAATCTTGGAGAGGTCTGACAGGTACTGGGCACTTAGCAGATGTGTTCTTTTCCTGATTATCCGCATCTTTGCCCTTGGGAAGAAAACCCAGCCCATTGACTTCAAGGGGAGTTCTGCTGCTGACTTCAAAAAGGATTTCCCCTTTGGTGCAGAACTTCAAGACAAGCAGGAAGAAGAGACTTGTTTTAGAGCTGACCTGGCAAGTGTAAAGCTTTGGTGTTTGAAAAGTCCCAGGCTGCTTGTTCTACCTGAGGTGATGTTTAACATCTTTATTAGGGAATGGCACCTTCCTAGGTAATTTCAGAAGGAGAAAGTAGGACTCTGAATAGGAACAGACTATCAGCGTGTTTTGCTGACTGAGCTTATGCAATTTGAATGGATGCTCATCTTAAAATCTTGTGTGTTCAGAGATATCGCTCAAAAGTAAATCCAGAGTAGTTAAAAGTTGCTTTGAATTAGTTGTTAAGCCACGGAGAGTGGGTCAGCTCACCTGCAAAAGCTGGAGAAAGGAAACCTGTAGGCTCGAAGTGACATGAGCTCTCTAAGGAGAGACAGTTTCTCTTGCATTGAAACAACTCTTTGAACAGCACGAGGTGCAATTCCTCTGCAAAGCTAGCTGATAGATTTCCTATTGCAGGGAGCCACCTGCCTTGGTTTTCCTTACAGTAGACTTGATAAGAGAGACTTGTTAAAACCTTGGATTTAGTAGGATTACAATGCTGCTTAGAGATTAAAACATTCCCACGAGTGTGAAGATGCAGGAAGCAGGCAGCATGCTGATACTTTTCTTTTTTTGTTTTAACAGCTATTTGTCGTCAGGGATGTAGCCCCAAGCATGGTTCTTGCACAATTCCAGGAGAGTGCAGGTAAATGCTCCTTCTCCCTCCTTGTTTCCCCCCACTCCCCCCAAATAATTAAAGAAGTGATGGGAGGGAGGGTGGTTTTGGAGTCATATTTTTGACCAAGGCGCATTATTCATGCTGACTTGCCCAGAATAAGGGGGGAGCAGGCTTTTAATGCACTGATAATTTTAAGAAGCTTTTGTTTTGTGAAATGGTGGCACTGGGGGGGAGGGGGTTATGGGATAAATTGTGTGAATGCTGCCTAATGAGCACTAACTAATTATTTCTGCATAAATAGTGCAAATGTTTTGTGGGTATGGTTTTTTCAACAGCCTGATTAATAGGCTTTTTCAACTACAAGCTTGAAGTACAGTGTGGCTTTTCTCTCTTCTTCTCCCTTTCACTGTTTCCCCCTTCCTCCCTCCCACCCCTGGTTTCTTCCATCAGTAGGCAAAAGTCAAGCATTCTTTAGAATGGGATTAGTTAAATTTCTCGGTTCCTTTACCATTGTGAGCAGGGCTCCAAGTGCTGAGAGGTTAATAGCTGAGATGAAATCTTGTCAGTAGGCTCCGATGAATGCAGAATTTTGCTCCCGTGCTTTGAAGTCCATTCTCTCCTGGCAAGGAGACAATGAAAAGCAGAGTTTATCCATAGCCCAACAATTAACTATTTGGAATGCCTTCAAAATACACAGCATATATTTACAGCACAGGGAAGTTTTCTCCTTTGCTAATAGAGGGTTAATGGATATTAAATCTGAACATTCTTTATCAACAAACTGGTTTTAAGTTGCTTTACATAACCCTTATCAAATCTCTTTACATGCAATAGGGAACTGAGGGCTTCTGAGGTTACAAAATGTTGATACTGATCCTGTGTAGGAAGGGTTAAAAGCAAAGCTTGGGTATTCATGAATAAAACTCCGAAGGCTGAAGGAACAGAAAGTAATTTTTCTGCCTAACAAATGCATTGGTGGATTCTCTATTGCTGGAAGCTTTTGCGTGAAGCAGACTGCTTTTCTTTCTAGATAAGCTCTAGTTCAAACAAGAACTAAATCGGGGGTGGCTGACAGACTATATTATATGAGAAGTCAGCCTAAATAGTCACATTGGTTCATTCTTTCTCTCTTTGTCCCTGTAATCTACACTTTAAAACCAAACCAAAACAAATCCTCAAGGAGCATTCTGAAAGTAAGGTAGGAAGTAGCTTCTTGTCCTTGCCGAGAGACATGGCGAAGCAGAAGTCAAGCTGCAGGATGGAGTGTTGTAGGTTGTTCAGTGATTTTTCATGTTTTGCAGCACTGATATAAATCGGTTAACCCCCAAAACTCCAAATCTAAATCTTTTTTTAATTAAAAAAATAAAAAAGCTTAGCAAGTAGTAGGAAGTATCAGGGGGCCAGATGGCGAGAGGAGTGTATCAGTCAAGGCTACCAGTGATTTGTGCTTCTGTCATCAGAATAAACATGCCTTTTAGGGGTTGCTGTCTCCTAGTCAGAACAACAGGCTTTGTTTCCAGATTTTTTTCTTTCCTTTCTCTTTCTAAGTCTCTTACCTCCCACTCACTGCCCAGACATGCACTAGTGCTCTTATTTACTTAAGGTGCAACTTTCCCACACTTGATTTGCATAGTCTTGAAACAATGCTGTCCTTCTGGTGCTTTCAGATAACTTCTACTTGCCAAGTCAGACCAATATCTTTAAAGTGAACACAGAAACAAGATTCTATTTTCTTTTAAGTTTTGATGAGTCATATAGCCTGTATGTTACAAATGCAACAGCATTTAAAAATAACATCCCAGCAGAAACTGTTCTGGTGCAATAGACAACTTGCAAACATTCTTAAAATATCCTTTTCCCTTTTGGTGCGAGTCGCGTTCTTTAATGCAGGCCAGCCAGCAAAACCATATTTACTCATGAATCACTATACAAGGAAAGTTAAATTTAAATTTCTCATGAGAAACTTCTGCATACATATTATTAAACAAGAATTATTACCACGAATCTTTTTCTGGACTTGATATCTAACTTTTTTTTTTTTGAATGCCCATAGCCTTATCCAGTTTTGTTTATTACACTTTGAAGCTGATGTTCAAAGAAAGTAGTATCTTTGGCTCTAAAGCTCATGGCTTTTTTCTGTGTGTTGTTCTTTTGGTTTGGTGTTTTTTTTCTAATTACTTGTTTCTCTTTACATTTGCTTTAAAGAAAACAAAAACCCCACCCCTTTGATTTGGCAGAATTTTTGGAGTAAAATTCTCGATTTGGACACCTGTTTTTGCAGGGGAGCTCCCTTAGTTTTGCTTGTGTGCAAGCTCACAGGCAAGTTGCTTTGAATGCAATACAAATTAAGAGGGTATGTTCCTAAATTTTGATCTTTGTGCATTCTTATTATATTCCCTGTGTAGAAGGATTTTCCAACAGCTACTTGAGAGAGGTTATTTTGCCTGATCTGGTTTTCTTTCATGTTCTTTGCACACAGACACATAAGTTGGACTAGTTTTTTTTTAACACACAAACTAACAAGAATTTCCTATTGACTTTGAATAGGCTGCTATTGAAATAGCTATTAAAAAAAAGTTAATTAGGATGCAGTTTGTCACCTGAGATTTTTAGAAGGGAAGTCAGACTTACCACTGGCTGTGTGTGATTATCCATTGGCTAGATCCTTCTAACTTTTTCCCATGAGAAGAAATTGCCTGTAGAAGAATGGTGGGGGGTTTTATAAATAGAAAGCTTAGCCGACTTCTTTACAGATGAGGCTTGTTTTCATAATTTAGTGACAGCTTAGTGCGTAATTGCTGCTGATCAATTACTCTCAGGACCTGTTAATGAAATACAGTACCTCAACAAGCCCTTGCTTTTCATTTTCAACTTGTTTTCCTTGTTTCTATCTATAGATCCACTTTAATTTGAAGAATCCTTGGTCTGCTTGCTAGTGAGAACTAAATAAAAGCCAAAATAAGCTTTCCCTTAAGGGGGCTTTACTTTAAAAGAACAACTTCCTTTTAAGTACAGAATTCAGGTAGCTCATTGGTAGTGACAATAAATAATTTTAACAGTAATAAAATCTTCTCCAGACACAAAAATAAAGAATTGGATAAGTTTTAGTTATTCCATGAAAAGAAGTTAGCATAAATCAAACTCTGAAATACACTGACAACTGATCTTCTTTGAACACATGTAAAATCCTGATGTGTGCTGTTTTCTTTCATCTCTTACGGTGGCCCAGTCCATACTCGCTGTTTACGTTTCCTAGTTCAGAATAAGGGGAGCTTTCGACTGAGCAGGGAACTCGTAATGCTTTGCTACTGCCTTGCCGAGGGCTCAGAGTTGGTGTTTATGGGTTTGTCTGTCTTCCTGCAAACCCAGCGCGGCTGAAATGCCTGGAACCTTGTATTTGTGAGGCTCTCTGGATAACTGTTGTTTCCACTGACTTTTTCTCCCCCCCTCAATTTACAAAACACCCTGTCAAAGTCCAGAGATTGATTTGTAGTGCACACCCACCCTCTCTGCCACATTTGTATGAGGCTCCAAAAGAGTATTATTGTGCTGAATGGCTTCATGCTGGTTCTCTCAGAACAGTTATTCTTTTGTCAGGAGGCTGGCTATAGAGACCTTGGCAAAACTACTAAAATGTTTGTTTACAAGAAACCATCAAACAGACCTTGAATAGCTTTTCCCCCTCCCCTTGTCCTGCCCTTCTCCCCCACATCCCCAGTCTTTCTCCAAGCTTTGGAGTTCCACACTCACATCTACCCAGAGCAATTCTAACGAGTTCTTGGTTTGTTTCCCTGTTCTGATTTTCCTTTCCCCCCCCTCCCCCTTTCTTTTTTAAACGAAGGTGTCAGTATGGATGGCAAGGCCAGTACTGTGATAAGTGCATTCCACACCCAGGATGTGTCCATGGCACTTGCATTGAACCATGGCAATGCCTCTGTGAAACCAACTGGGGTGGTCAGCTCTGTGACAAAGGTATGCTAATCTTACGGACAGCCAAGGGTAACACTTGAATTTTAACGCTGGCAGACTTAGCAAGGAGAGAGTGCACGCGAGACAGGGAGAGCGAGCCTCCTGAAAGATGGTGGGAATTTTTTGTCTCCTCTGCTCTTCTGGTGGTGTTAGCATACGTGCTTAACTTTTCCTTGTCCTACTCTTGTGTGTGGATGTATTCTGTAAAGGCTCTAAAACAATGGAACAAAGCATGCACGTGGTGAAGTTTCTGTGCTTTTTCAACCATGGCTTTAATTCTCCTCACCTCTTGCAGATCTGAACTACTGTGGAACCCACCCACCCTGTTTGAATGGTGGTACCTGCAGCAACACTGGCCCCGATAAATACCAATGTTCCTGCCCTGAGGGCTACTCGGGACAGAACTGTGAAATCGGTAAGTGTTTGATGCAGCTGCTGAGCTGCCACTTGGCAGTTAATTCTTGCCTTGTTTTGGATATATTTTGTGAGGTTGGGGAAAAGTCAATTTCTAATACTAACTATGAACTCAGTGCTAGCTACCAAGATCCAGACTTCCTTGTTTGTGCTTCATCATGAACAGCTGGTATCTCTGAACATCAGCCTTCTGCTCACTGGAGAGATGGCTCCAAGTTACCTTGGCTGGCTCTGACTCAAACAGGTGCAAGTCAGTGTGGTGATGAGTTCAGCAG